GAACAGTGTTATCCAATAAAAATATAATGTGAGCTAGAAAAAATAAAAAAAGAGGAGGCCTATCCACCACCACCTTGACTAGTTCAGTTCCAGGCATGTCTTCAAAATTGTTCTTCCTCTGTGACCTAGCAGAAGTAGGGCCATTCTCTCTCTGCTCCTCTTGATTCCCTTCCTGTGTTAAGGGAACAAAACAGTCTGAGAAGAAGTCCCTGTATGGCAGCTGACTCAGCCTGGAGTTAATTGTGGTAGGGGAGAGGTTGGGACTCCCATCTCCAGACCAGGGCAGGCCCTCCGCACACTGCCAGCATCTCACGGCACAGCTCAGGGAGCCCTAGAGTTTTCTCTCTCATACTCCCAGAGTGCTTCACAGGCCTCTGGATTAACCCTGTCACCTTCTGGAAATTAAATGAGCTGTCTTAACTTTTCAGTATACAACTTCAGGGGAAAGCTCCCCACCACTTAGAGTCATAAACTGGGGAACAGGGAGTGCTGGACAAACGATGTGACACTACAAAGAACTCTCAGACTCCTTATTTGGAGGTAATACATCTCATTCGATTTTCTTTCCTGCAGTGGACTAGACCGAACGGCACAAAAGCTGGTGGTGAGCCCTCTGTTGAGGCCCAGTTTAGTTTATTTTGGCCATTTCTGTCGTGTCTTGACCTTTCCCTTGGCTTGACCCTGCTGTATTCTTTCTTGGGCCCTTTCCGTAAGGAGAAAAGAATGAACAGACCCCGAAGGCTGGCATTTTTCTGACTCCCAGCTGATTGGTCATCTCTAGGCAACAGGAGTGATGGCAGGAGGAGGAGAACAGAAAGAGCGTGGGTCCAGGGTTGTGGGTCTGATGTGCCTTGGGTCGTGAGGTGTCAAGCAACGTCTCATTCTTTGTTGGGGTGATGGAGGTGCTAACTACCTCTCTAAGTCAATCAAATGGTCAGTAAACAGGTTCTTGGAAATGTCCTGGCAGGGCTGGGTGCCCAGCTTGGATATTTTTAACTTTCTGGACAGATGGACAGAGGAAGGATTTCAGTTGTTGGGAGGGGAGGTGGGGGTCAGGGGCGTGAGAATTATGTTTCCCTTATACGGTTCTGTGGCAGAAGACCCTCCTTCTCCACTTCATCTGTCTAAATGCTGACTTCCTCCTTCATCTACCCAGATTCACAGTGAATCCTTCCTTTGTCTCCTGTTCTCCCATTTCACTCCATTTCTGGTTTTTCATGCCTGTCTTATCTTCCAACTCTAAGGAGACTTTGCTTTCTGTTCAAGACCCCGAGATCTTTTTAGCTCCATATCCCGGTAGATCAAGGAAAGGGTGGTAAGGCTGTCGCCAATGGCTGCTTTGCTTTTCTTGGGGAAAGAAGCCTGTCAGTGGCACCCAGAGGCTTCTCTTCAGTCTTAGCTCTTCAAGCTATCCTGTAGGAGAGCTCCAAATTCCCTTGCAACTTCACGCACCTCACTGCCCTCAACTCTTGGGAACAGAATTTGAGATCCTGAAAGCCCAGATGAGCCTCATATATCTTTGGAAAGTAGAAGAAATACTAGTTGAGGTCAGGGGCAGCAAACCAGGGGGCCATTGGTGGAATCAGCTTGCAGACATTTCAAAACCTGTACAGTTGCTTCCTAAAAATTTGAATTGGTGGTAAAGATTTAAAAACCAGATTTCACCAAAAGCTACTGTTCTGGCTTCTCTTAAAAAGCAATTACATTTGGTAACAAGCAGTCCACATTCCTTCGTGGCATCCACCTGCGAGAGCTGAAGGGCTCTCATTTGCTAGCTTCTACCACTCCCTGTTGTATCACACTCTCCTGCTTCACCCCTCTATACCTGCCTGACTCCTGTCTGGTGTTCAGGTTCGTCTTAAGTTGTTTCCTTTAAGGAGAGCTTCTCAAATATCTCCTCTGCAGGACCCCTAAGATCAGGAGAATGAACCATTTTCCCCAGGACTTCTGGAACACTCCAGAGTCACCTGTCAGAAGCCAAAAATGTTGTTGAAGTACCTATTTTATGTTTAAAAAGTGCAAATTTCGATTTATGCTGCACAGTATATTTGTGCAGCTTGCATAAAAATAATTTTATCTCCCTCCACCAAATCTTAAAAGTAAAACTGAAACGCCGGAAGAGGTACTGTGTGTATTCTGTAAGTCCAAAACTTCCACACTACATCACCATCACCCATAAATAACCCGAGTTAGGCACCACAATGCTCAAGATGCAAGGCCCAGAGAGACACGGAGAGAGAGTCAACAAGCGGAAAAGAATATGAAAGACACGAAGAATGAGTGAGTGATAAGCTCTTTCTGGCCCCGAGTCACATCTCCTGACCTGGTCCAGTCCGGCTCCTGGGAAATTTGTAGACATCTCTGATATCTCTGGACAGGTGTTAGAGTGGTGGCTCAGGGTGAAAAGCAAAGTCTCAAAACAGGAGCCAGGCCAAGTAAGGGAGAGGTGAGGGGCTAAGGGCAGCCAAGTACGGTCAGACGGGAAAGACTGTCGAGGGGCCAGGAGAGAGGCTTGGAGACAGGGAGCGGAGGGTGGAGAAAAGGGCTGGTCAGCGTTTGCCCTTTCTCCCACTGAGCCCACCTTTGTCTCACTTCCTCTTACCTCCCCTGCCTCAGAAAAATGAAGTAAAAGAGTTGCCTCGACCTCCTTAAATGAGGGAATCTTCTTTCCAGAATGGCTACATCTCCCACCGAAGAGGAGCAGAAGGGGGCTGAGTACCAGGGCTCCTTTCCCTGTCCAAATGGGATTTCTTCCCTTCTCTCCCCGAGAGAGGCTATACCCCAGATCTGTGTCCCTGACTTGGGTGAGCTTATTCCCCCATCCTCTGTGGTAAGGCAAAGACAGGCCTAACGAATCTCCCTCCTATTCCGGTGCTTTCAACGCTGCCCTGAATGTAACAAAGAATGTCAAAGACAGGATTTGGATATTTTTCACTAACCATGTATACCAAGAGAAATGGAATCACGGGATGGGGAAGATTCAGGGAGAGGCAGGGGTCCAAGTTTTGGGAAGCGCATCTCATAGCTGAGGATCCAGGGAGGAGGAGGCGTTTGAGAATGGGGAATAGTCCCAGACCCAAAGGTCATGGCGACATAGCCTCTCCCTGCATTGGTCAGGCCTGGGTCTGAGGAATCCTTGGACCTAAAAAAGGGTCTTAAAAGTCTTGGGCCTTAGCCTCTCAGGTCCCGCAGTTAGGGCTGGATCACCGTCTTCCCACTGAGTCCCATTAGGGTGGCCGGGGGAACCTCCCTTCCCTTTAGGATACAAAACAGCAAATTAAGTTCTGTTGGAGATAAAGCAAAGGCCTTTCTGAGGTGATCCTAGAACTTCTTATTTTCAGCTCTCTGGTCCCAAATGACCTTGAGGAGATAGTGAGGCTCAGCAAGGGAAAGGTCAACGGAGAAGGGGTTACCACTGGTCTGGCCAGATCAGCTAACTGGGCTATTCTTGTCTAGCTCACTTCTCTGTCCTCTGGCTAGACATGATATATGACGGGAGATGAAGAAGCACCCCCCCACCCCCCACTAGCCCCTTCCTCAGTCAGCATCCAAACTGCTTGATGTGAGTCCTGACCTGCAGATTGTGACCTTGAACTCTGATGCAGGGGCTGTCACCTCTTTTGATAGTTGATAGAATTGCTGATCCTCCTGCTACCAGGGCTGAGGCAGTTTCTTGGAAAGGATTGGCTGCATGCCTGAGGTATCTTTAGCTTGCCCAAGCTGTAAATAGGTGGGGAAATCCAGAAGATGGAATGAGTTCAGCAAAAGCTGGGCACGTCCTGACCTTTGTTCTCAAAACCACTTAGTGGATCCACTGTGGGTGGATCAACGTAGGCTTGAAGGCTTCCTGGTGGATCTCTAATCCAAATTCCGTCTCAACTGAGGCTTGCAGACTTGTCATGATTTTCCCAAGGGCCCAAGGCTGTGGGGTGGTGAAATTCCGTAACCCGTAACTCCATAAACATATGCCCATAGCTAGTGCTTTGCTCAGTTGAGATAGCAGCCCTTCCCTTTGGCTCAGTTCTCAACCAGCCCCCGCCTACAGGCCACCCTTCCTTCCTTTCAAAGTTCAAACAGCAATAAAAATGAACTGAGGGAAATCATTGTCTCTTCCTCACTAAACCATGGATGCCCTATCCACCCGATACCTGACCTTCCAATTGTCTTGGGTCTCCACTCCCAATCTTCTAAATAACATGTTGCATCCAGGTTTTCCATTCAGCGGTCCCTCAAACCACTTGAGTCCCTGTGAAGTTTGCAAGACCCCACTCTCAAGCTTCCTGCCCAAGGTGGGAGGGGACCAGAAGCTACAGATGGAACATAGGGTAGGGAGGGGTAGGATTCTTGCCAGAGAGCAAGCTGTTCAACATAAGCAGGCCCTGGCAGGCAGGTAGCACAGGGCTGAGTGAGCACCGTGTGGGTCCTCTCTTAATGTTTGCAGACAGACCCTCAACCTCTAACCTCTCAGGTGGTCCTCCAGAGAAATAAGCAGTTGTGACTGGTTACTGGACCTTAGGCTTCAGCCTCAGCCTGCCCGATGGAACCTATGGAAAGTAGGGGAGAGGTCAATGGAAACAGTCTAACTCTGCCTGGAACTGTTCTGGAATCTGGGGAAGCTGCTAGATCCCGTGTCTCTGGCTTTGTTCAGCAAGGTCACCTGCCAAGAGCGGCAGGACGCCAGATAGGAAAGAATCCAAGAATCCAAGCATGGTCTGATCTTTCCAACGCTTTGTTTTTGAGGCAGTACAACTGAACCCAAGTGGTCATTCTAACCTTTGCCTTCCTTTCTCCCATTTCATGGGAAAAGATGTATGTATGTAGTGGTGGGAGCAGGAGTGTGTTCCAGTCCTCCTCTACTCTCTGTCTAGAATCTTCTTTGTTCCCACTCTTTTAAGGTCCCAGGGATTTGGGGGGATGGCTGTGCCCCCAACATAGACACAGATATAGTTGATCAGGTGAGGACTGGTATATGTTGGGGAGGGGGACAGGAGGCAAAAGGAGATTTTTCATTTGTTTCTTTTGCATTTTGTTTCTTGCTGATTTCTCCACAGCCACAATCACAGGCTAAAGTCTGACTATGGGAAACCCCAGTGACACGTCCCACAGCCCCTCCCCCACCGTTCCACGCACTTTACACTTTGGAGAGCTAGAAAAGGAATTACACCAATCACCACAAAGTGCTCAATAACTCTGGAATGTTCTCTTTCAATTCCTGCTTCCTACTCTGTTCTCTTGGCTGCCTCTACCTTAACACCTATTACCACAGCCAAACCAGGCTTTCAAGGTGCTTTCCCTCAATGAAGTCACAGTCCCTATTCATTTTTTACAATGGGGTCAGAAATATCTAACACGAGATTGCCAGTCTCTATCATCTGCTGCAGTATATGGAATTCAGTCTGCCTGCCTGAATGTGTTTGGAGAATTTCTTGAAGGTTCTCTTGCATCCCCTCTTCATGACTTCCAATGTTTTAGTAGGGTCGCTATGACAGCATCCCAGCTATCTGTGCCTGCCTCCTTATTCAGTCCCTATTCTGGACACGCAGCTCGCCCGTGACTGTTGCATGCCAAGTGGCTGGAACCAATCAGCTCATCGAGGGCTTCCTTGGAAGCCAATCAGAGCCTAGGGAAGTGACCTCACCCCAGGGAGAGCTGTGTGGGCGAGAAAGCATCTCTCAGAGCTGAGTGTCCCTAAGTCACTCCCCTCCTCCCCACCCTCCGTACTTCCTGTAAAGCAATACCGCCTACCCCCTCTACTCCAAGAAGGGAGTGAGAAAGGCTACCTAAATTCCACAAAGGAAGAACCAAAAGGGAAACTGCAACTCAGCCACCAAAGCAGTTTCTGGAAGTGGAGAATGGGGGTTCCCCTTGCACAGACCTATCTTTCAATGTGGGGTCCCGGGGGGCCTGGAAGAGGGTGTGTGCTGAGGAACAATCAGCACCTCCTCCCTACTCCCTCCCTGCCCCTGGCTTTCTTGATTCTCTCTCACAAAAATAGCTGTAATCTTTCCTTGTAAACAAGGACAAGCTCAAGGTCAAGTGTGGGAAAGAGAGAGCCCGTGTCCTTGTGAACACATGTGAAAAGAGACAATCCGTGTCCCGTGGCCTGAGGACCAGAGGCTCAGAAGCCAACCGGTCTTCAGGACATGGGCTGTTCTTCTCTACTCCTCACTCTGAGCAGCCTCATAGATGAGTTCCTGAATGTTCCCTGGCAGGGCTAGAACGGAAGCACGTGTCTCACCATTACAGTGGGAGGGAAGGGGTAAAGGACAGGAAGGCTGTAATCCCCAGTGTGTCACACTGGACTCTGATGGGTAAGGAAAGAACGGCTGAGCTAGGCACTCCCTTTTTTCCTCCAGGCCTCTCCCACCAGGCTTCGCCCTGCACAGAGAGGCAGATAAAAACATTTTATTTAAAAATATAAAGCTGGCCTTACTCCTCCAAACTGCACACACCCCCAATTATCTTTCACTGTACAAAAGTGGGCGGGGCTTATGTATAGCTCTCTGGGCTCTAACAGCACCAGTGTTTCTCTGACCCTTCTTTCTTTCTTTCATACAGTTAACATTGTATGTTAACATTGGTCCTTGGCCCTTTACGGGAGCTATCTGTCCTCACTGTCCATTTCTATCTCCGGGGCCAAACAGTTTATCTGGGCTCTAAGCAAATGATTTGCCTGCCCACAAAACCAAATAATAGGGACAGTTACTCTCTGTATCTTAAACCAAAAAAGATCCAAAGGTCCAGGGTGCTGCTTTGTCAGTATATAGCCTCATCCATATTGTCATCACTGTCACCCCCAAAGTCCTCTCCGTTGTCAAAATACGACATGATGTAATCAGTTTCCTGAAACAGAACAAAAAGAAATCAAAGTCAGGCTTGCTTTCGGCCTTGTCCTTTCTCCCGGTGTGTCAGGACCCTCCCCTCCCCAGGAAACCATCCCAGGCCTGGGAAGTCCCTTTGGCTGCAGTTTGCTCTTGAGAAGAACCTAGGGACACGTGAAATGGAGGGCATGATCCTCCAGGGCACATCTCCTCCGGCTCTCCAACCCTCTAGAGGGAACGTCCCTGGTGCACGGAGTTGAGACCCCCAGAGCTGATGAGGAAGAGACGGGAACTGAGGTTGGAAGGAGAGCCCTTTCACCTCTTCATGTTCTTCTTCATCATACTCCTCTTCTTCTTCCTCTTCCTTCTCTTCTTCTTCTTCTTTCTCCTCATCTTCCTCTGAAGTCACTTCTTCCTCCTTTTTCTCCAGGGTCTTATGCGGAGATGAATAGAAGGAAAAACTCAGACTCAGTTCAGAGAAGGGAAAGGATGAAGCACACATGGGCCTAAGGACAGGGCACGGGTCTGGGATCCAGGTGGTCTCTGTGCACATTTCCTCCTTACCTCTAGTTTCTGTATTGTTTCTTCCTTATCTTCTGTGTTCTTAGGGGGCCTCTTGGGAATCAGGATGGTGGTCCCTGGTCAAGGAATCAAAAGGTGAACCATCAGAGAGCAAACTTCCTTATTAGCCTTCTACCCCACCCTCTCTCAGAGATGATGTTACTCTGCTGCCCTCATGTGGCCACCATGGCATCCAGCTACAATACTGCGTAGAGTGGGTAGGAACTGGGAGGGCAGGCAAGACCACCCACAGCCTCTGGCCCTCCAGCTGATGAAGGAAATCCCTCTTCTGCCTCCTTTTCCCAGATAGACTCACGTTCCTTTTGTAGCTTCCGCACTCGGATCTTTAGCTCCCGGGGTAAACGTCGCCAATCTGGGAACAGCGGGAACGTACAAGTCAGTAAGACCCTGTCTGGGGTTTCCTATGAATAATTGGTTTTAAAGGAGAGGTAAGAGACAGGATAATGGTGAGGAAGGAAGGGGTTGGGTCAAAGTCGCTTAGAACAAAACTGTGGCTTGGATGCCTCTAGGAAAGTGGGGCTATTTAATAGGTTTTCAGGGAGAGTCGGAGAGTGTTTTGGAGCACATCCAGGGCTCCAGTTTGTACATACTGAGTAGAGTGGAGGGAGGAACAGAGAAAGGTGGACGGGTTGGTGGCTTGTGGCATCTCGAGGATTTAAAAAAAGGGAAGTCAATGAAAGGGCCCATCACTTACCAGGGTTCCAATCGATGGCATTGTCAATCGGCCCTGACATCTGATATTTGTCTGAGTAACGCTCCACATCTGAGGGGTCAGAGGCCAAGGGTCAAAGTTTTATCCTTTCAGAGCCCCGGAACAGGGTTGTTCCTGAGGGCCCAGCCTTCTCAATACTCAGGCATTGTCTGTTCCTTCACCCCAAACCCAGAACCCAGGGGGTCAGCTTCCGTGAGGACCGTGAACACTGTGCCACCCCAAATTTTTGTTTTTGTCATCTCCCTTAACCCAGAGGGTTAACCCACATTGAGAGGTAGTGTGGTACATTGGAAAGTATACTAAAGAGCAAGAGATCAGGGTTCAAGTCTTCCCTTTACTCTTTGTTAATGGGGCCACCAGGCAAGTCTTTCATCCCTCTGAGCTTCAGCTTCTAAGGCTTCAACTGGAAAGCACTGTTTGTCAATACACTCAAACACTGCACTTCCACACCAGCTGGTAAATATCCACTATCCCAGGCCTCCCAATGACTCCCCTTCTCTGGATCCTCTTGGTCTCCTTGGCCTCTCCAGAATCCTGCTAACCTTAGGAGGGCTTCTCAGACACCCAGCATCAGCCTCCCTTCTGATTGTTTGGTGCCTGTAATATCCGACCTGTTAACCATGTTGATATATTCCATTCAAACCTATGAAATGAGCACCGTGAGGCTTAACCTCTTACTATCTCCAGACTGTCGTGAGACTCAGAACAAATCACGGATACTAGACTGCATTTCAAAGGCGGGGGTAATTGTTATGATCTCCCCAGCTAGACAGTGAGCTTCCTGCGCCTCTCCTGGCCTCTCGGGGCCCCCAGTGGTGCCGTGTACAGGGCACTACTCATGGAAAGGCGCTCAGAACATGATGCTCGCATTCCAACTGACCTCTCTTGGGGACAGCTGGCCGGATGAAGTAGGGGAGCTGCCTCATGGCCCCTCGTAGCTCCTGCTTCAGCGCCAGGACATACTCCCCTTCCTCTCCTGAGGGCAGGGGCACTGGGCGGAACTCCAAGGGCTAAGAAAGTGGGGCAGTGGTCAGTCCAGGGGAAAAAAAAAACACTAGAGTACAAACCTAGAAGGGTCTCTCCCCCCAATTCAATCCAATGCTCCCACTGACCAGAGGGCCAAAGAAAAATGGGGGGAGCAATACAGCATTTTGAAAGCTGGGGAGCTGGGAGTGTAAGAAACTACTTTGCCTGGAAAATATCCCATGTGAGTTGGAAGCACAGAGACAGGCAGGGGCAAGATGAGTGTTATGGTGGCCCACGAGGAATCCAGGATCACATACTGTGAGCCAGGGACACACAAGGGGGACAGACACTCACAGGGAAGAGTGGAGAAGGCTGCAGGGTGGGTGGGGGCAGAGCATCCCCCTTCCCAATGCCCACAGCCTCCATGTTGAAGGTCAGCTGGCCCCGGCCACGACCCCGGCCCCCACCCCGACTGGCCATGGTGGAGGGGGCCTGGGTATTCAGTGATCCAGTGAGAAAAACCTGATAAAGACAAAAACAAAAAGAAAAGTATAGTAGAACGATGGGAAGCCAGAGAGGTACAAGGCACTCAATCTTTTCTCCTTAGGACCCAAACAGCCAGTGTAATCCAACAAATTTTGATGGGGAAGGCATTGTACCAGGCAGGGTATTTCTGGAAATACAGACGTGGATGAGACACGGTCCCAACAGGACAGATAATTGCAGCATAGTGTAACTGTAGAACAAAAGGGAAAGTGGGGGTGCCTGAGTGGCTCAGTGGGTTAAGCGTCCGACTTTTGATTTTGGCTCAGGTCATGATCGCAGGGTCATGATCTCAGGGTCGGGAGATGGAGCCCCGGCATTGGCTCCATGCTCAGTGGGGAGTCTGCTTGGATTCTCTTTCTCCCTCTGGCTCCCCTCACTCTCTCTCTTTCTCAAATAAATTTAAGACGGGGGGGGGGGGGGGGGGGATTAGACCCTTGGATAAAACTTCCCTCCCTCCCCAAGATAATGTGGTATTTGTCAGCATCTGCATATCTCCACAGAATCTTTGAACTCTTTCTCTCCCTGACTTTCCACACCCAACCAGGCCCCAAGGCAATCCAATGCAATGACTTTCAGCAAAACATTCACTAAGCATCTACTATGGAAAAGGTAGTGTGCCAGGCACTGTGGGGGCACCGGGATAAGTCATTAGTCTCACTGTCAGTGGTGGGAGGTAGGAGTGAGGAGAACCATTACAATCAATTTATTTATTTTTTTTTAAATGCAGCTTAGAAGCATGGAATCTTAGAACTGGAAGGGCTGATAGAATTACCTAGTCTAAATTCCCTCCCAATGCATGTTATTAGTCATTTAAATTCCAGTGGCATTTCCTGGAGAGAGGGTGTCCATTCTCTCCCAAGGCAGCCCATCCCATAGTGATCAACTCTGACGAACTGAGAGTTCCTTCTGCTACTGAACTGAACTTTGCTTCTTGTCATCAATCTGAAGGGGCCAGTCAGAGGCAGATAGGATGGAGGATAAAGTTATCAAATGAAAATGAAACTTGCAAGAAATGATATTCCAGTGACAAAGAGCACATCTAGCACCCAGATCTTGGTTTCTAATACCATTTTCCAACAAAAGGAACCAGGGCTTCTTGGAGAAATGGCTGGTTCTAGGGCTGGAGCAGGAAATATATAATGTGCACTGGAAGCATCTTCTAGTGCCAGAAAGCAAAGAAGCACTCAAAACAACAACACACACACATAAATTGGTGGGGCTATGTCAAAAGGGCATTAAGAGTCAACCGAAAGAGCTCCCAATGGCCAAAACTGGAAGAATTTGAGCAATAAAATAAATAAAGTAGTATTAGATTATAACTCCATAGTATAAAACAAGTATCCATGAGTCCACACTGATATAAATAAATGATTAAATAAGTTAATACATGGGGGGAAGACAAACCTCTCATGTAGAATTCCAAATAAATTATGTAGACTCCACCCTGAAGAGGGGGAGTATAACTTTCCACTCCCTAAGTGTGGGCGATATATAGGGAATTTTGTCTAATTCAACTTAGGAAAGGGGAGAGTAACTCTACAGTGGAGAACCTGGACAAACACTACCTCAGTCTGGTGACCAAGGTCAACATCAACAATATTAAATTACGTTGCTAGTAAGGGTACGTACCCTAAATAAGATGGGAGAAGGGAGAAAGCTAGAAAGACGGTGATGGTGAAAGGAAGCTTGATGGATCACAAGGTCTCAAGTTTGGCAGAGCGCTCAGAAATCATGTATTCATTCGTTCAACAAATAATTATTGAGCATTTACTATATGCCACACACTATGCTAGACAACGGGGATTATAGTGAATCCTCTACTTTAGACACGCGTCCTTCCTCTGATTAATTGTATTTAGTAAATTGTTATACAGTTTCTATTTACACATCTTTACTAAGAGGACTCCCTATCTTCACTTTGCAAGTTATTCCATTTTTGGATATTTGCTCTTCAATTAATATCCAACAAATACTCTAAACAAGAAACATATGGCTCAACAAAATGCCCTAGCTGGTGAAAAAAAAAGATTTAGAAATATGTAGAAGGTCATCTATTTTGTCAGACACACACATACACATTGTTTTATATGCACATACACATTTATGATGGAAAAAAAAAGTTGTTCTTGAAGGATACACACCGAAAATTAATGTTGGCTAATTTGAGGTGATGGGATTTGTGTGGTTTGCGGGGGTGGTTATGGGTATTTTAAAGTTTGTTTTCTATACTGAATAGGTATTGCTTTTTTATTAAGAGAAAAATAATAATTGAAAAATTAAAAATATAGCAACAGAATAGTAGATGAGATTAATAATATGTAGCAGGAAGGAGAGGGTAGAATATGTGTGTCTGAGGAATTTGGAAAGTTTAAGATTCAACAAAAAATGTGAGGAAAAAATGGCTGTTAGTTAACAGATTAAACTGTGATCTGATTGAAAGAACATATTAGGGGGGAAAGGATGTCTCATGGACACTAGAGAAGGAGAAAGAATTTGTGAGCATGTCTTCAGGCCCTTTCAAGGGAAAGGACACGCTAACCTACTGGTTTAGGTAGTCCTGACAGACACAGTTCTAGCAGTGGGGATGGGAGCTGGTTTGATCGCAAAGCAGTAAGGAGTCAAGAAAAGGTTGTAAGCTTTGAGGTTAGACAAATCGAACTCCATTTCCAGACACTAACCAAGTAACCCCCAAGGATATGGGGTAAAAGGAAGACAAAATTTTATTTAATTGAGGCAATAAACTGGTGGTTGGAAACTATAAACCATCCATTTCTACCCAACTCAGGTCAGGAATCTACGGTGTGTCTCTTCTTTTGAAGACTGTGATTGAGTCTAAATTCTTGAGGATATGTAGGGCCTTCCACAATCTGGTCCCAAACTGCCCTTCCTTATCGTCAATCCTCCCTAGAGCTCATCCTTGTACTCTCCTTCCCCCAAACAACATCTCATATACCTGATACTTGCTCTAGTAACTGTATTGTGGTAGAAATTATTAAGAAGCCAGTTTCAACAAAACATACAGAAAAACCATTACATCAAATTTCAGAAAGGCAGTACATGTAGCGGTTAAGAACGTGGATTTGAGGGCGCCTGGGTGGCTCAGTTGGTTAAGCAACTGCCCTCGGCTCGGGTCATGATCCTGGAGTCCCGGGATCGAGTCCCACATCAGGCTCCCTGCTCAGCAGGGAGTCTGCTTCTCCCTATGACCCTCTTCCCTCTCGTGCTCTCTATCTCTCATTCTCTCTCTCTCAAATAAGTAAATAAAATCTTTAAAAAAAAAAAAAAAGAACGTGGATTTGAATTCCAGTTCTGTCATTTCCTAGCTACACAACTTTCAGCAATTAATTTAATATCTCTAAACCTGTTTCCCCATCTATAAATGGGAATAATAATAATAATAAAAAACCATCTTAATTCATTCAACAAATATTTACTGAGTGCTTGCTATATGCCATGAGAACTCATGGAAATTCAAATGAAAAAAAAATCATACCAATAGAATAACTGTGCTAAGGACATGAATAGGCAATTGACAAAAGAATGATTAGTAAAACCAGTCTTCACTTATCAAATTGACAAAGACTTAAAAAATAATCAGACTGCCAGTTTTGTTCTGTTTTGTTTTTTTGAGATGGGCACTCTCATACCTCATTGGAAAGATTGTGTTTATACACAGTCTGTCAGGGGAGCAATTTGGCCCCTTGAATCAACAGCCTCTTAAATCGTCATACCCTTAATCCAATAATCCTACTTTAAAAAAATCTATCCTGAAGAAATAGTCAGATATGTAAGTACAAGGATGGTCATCATAGAGCTATCCATGGTAGCTAAACTTCTGGAACAACCTAAATGGTCCAACGAAGAATGAATGGTCAAAAACAATCAAATGTCCATTTTTGACCATTATGTAGAAAGAAAAATGACTTCAAATAATACTTAAAAGCAAAAAAAAAAGTTCACAATATAAAGTGGAGGGAAACGTGATATAAAATTGTATTTGTTGTATAGCCTGATTTACATAATATACACATACACATATATACGTATATATGCAGAAAAGAAATTGAAAGGATAAGTATTAAAGTAATAATAATGGGGGCACCTGGGTGGCTCAGTCGTTGGGCATCTGCCTTCTGCTCAGGTCGTGATCCCAGGGTCCTGGGATCGGGCCCCGCATCGGGCTCCCTGCTCTGTGGGAAGCCTGCTTCTCCCTCTCCCACTCCCCCTGCTTGGGTTCCCTCTCTCACTGTGTCTCTCTCTGTCAAATAAGTAAATAAAATCTTTAAAAAAAAAAGTAAAGTAATAATAATGGTCATCACTAGATCATGGTCATGAAATAATAAGCATTTTGATTTATACCTTTATGTGTTTCCAAATTTTCTAGAATAAACGTATATCACTTCTTTAATCAGAAGCCAAAACAGATGGTTTTATTTTTAAGAATGCTACTGGAATTCAAATCCATGTTCCTAACCAGGACAGCTCCCCCTCTTTTACAATGAAAGTGAGGAATGCATTTCGTTGAGCTATATATTTGTTTAGAATATTTGTTGGTTATTAATTGAAGAACAAAGATCCAAAAATGCAATGACCTGCAAAGTGAGATAGGGAGTCCTCTTTAAAATAGAAGCTGGATAACAATTTACTAAATACAGTTTATCAGAGGAAGGATGCATGTCTAAAGTAGAGGATTCACTATGATTCCCATTGTCTAGCGTATGTCTGGCATATAGTAGGTGCTCAATAAATATCTGTTGAATGAATGAATGAATACATGATTTCTGAGGGCTCTTCCAAACTTGAGACCTTATGATTCATCAAGTCTCCCCTTACCATCCCAGTCCTCCTAGCTTTCTCCCCTCTTGACTGTGGGAGCAATTATGTTACAAACCACTAATTTAAGAGATCTTAGTTAGATATTGTATTGTATTGTATTTTGTCTTTTATTAATTGTTCCCCAAATACGTTAGGAGTTTAAATTCTGCCTTCCCAATCAATTCCATTCAATTAACCTTTATTGGGCACTTCATATTAAGTACAAGAACATGCCTACAAAACCTTATATTCTCAGAAGAACAGAAACATTAGAGAGCGCACTAAGGGCTCTAATGGAGAGGTATGCATAAAATACTATCGTCAGACTGGGGAACGGTTAATTCTGAAAAAAAAAAAAAAGGAAAGAAAGAAAGAAAGAAAGAAAGAAAGAAAGAAAGAAAGAAAGAA